CAACTTGTAATTTAATGCTTATAACTTGAAAGAATTTAATAGACCAATATTCACTTTTTCCTTTAAGGGTGTACGGATACACTATGGATGAATCGGTACACAAATTAGGTTCGAAATACCCATGCATCGATGCACCCCTTAATGTATCGATGCACCTTTAAAATTGGTCTTAGTGCATCGGTGCATATTCATAATGTACCGATGCACCTACCCAAAATAGGCTATTTTTACCCTAAATTCCTCAATACTTTACCCAAATTTTCATGTATAAACCCTTTATTATGCTATCAAACTCATGTATAACAATTATAACTAATTTCTAGCATTCCAACACCTTATAATCTCTCATATTTCATCCAAATTCTTAAAGCTAAAAATCATACCAAAATATCAACATGATCGAAATTCAATTCTAATTCTTTAGACTTCTTTATTCTTCTTATGTCAAGTCAAAAATCTCATCAAAACCCTAAAAACCAAACCATATCAAAATTATCTTTAAAACTCATTTTACAAATCCCATCATAATTCACTCATCTTATTGTTTTAAGTTTATATAAGCTTCCCTTAAGCTTATATAACACCCGATTATTCCAACCCTACCTATAAATTCAAGAAATTAACAAGATTAAATCAACTTACTTTTGCTTTGGCTCTCACGGTGAAGAGAAAGAAGAAGAATGGAGAGTTCTCTGGAAACTTTCCCTCATTTCCCACGTTTATATAGCGTACAAAAAGAAAGATAAAAATCTTTCTTGTCAAATGACCATTTTACCATTCTTTCTTTCATTCTTTAATAAACCATCCATTACAAAATGTTTCCAATAAAGTCCCTAAACTTTTAACTTATTTCAAAATTAAACCCAAAACTTTCAAAATTCACATTTTAGTCACTAGCCCTGTTTTAGGATGTTACAACTTTCATCTCGGCTTTGTATCTAATAAATCGATTACCTACAAGGGTTCTACATGAAAAGTCTCAATTTTAGGTTTTACGTCATCAACCTCATGACTATTCAATGTTAATAATGTTTGGTTGTACATGCTTTCCTTTGGTGAGACCATTTAATCATCACATGCACCTTGATCATGCATCGATGCATCATGTTATGGGCAGCCTTTTTGAGTAGAAAAATCATCCCCAAACGACTCCAAAACATCCCCAACGGCTATATACAACATCAAACACATTCCAAGCTATAAATACAAGCTGAGGACACTTGAAGAAGTAAGAGAACAACTATCCAAGCAATCAAACACAAGAGAAGAGTTTTTTATTCTTATTTCATCTTTCTCTTGTAAATATTTTGTTCTTGTGAGCTCAATCTTGTAAATGCCTACCTTAGAGAGGTTTTCTTGTTTACATCTTTTATCCTTTTGTAAAGGGGAAAGGTTCTAGCTTAGCCCGTGTAAAAGCTAGGGAAAGGTTCTAGTTTATCCCGGAAAAACTAGGGAGTTGTAAGGTTATCTCTTTGTCCTCAAAAGAAAGAACAAATTAGTGAATTTGTTGGAAAATCTTTGGTGAGGAGCTAAGGTAGTGGACGTAGACTTTGGTTGAGAAAGTCGAACCACTATAAATCGCTTTGCAATTCTCTATCTTTCAATCTCCTTACTCCCTAAACACAAAACCATTCCGACCCCTCTTTACAATCCGTTCCGGTTGTCGATTCGAGCTTCCGAAAATCCTAACAATTGGCATCAGAGCCTAACTCGTTAAGAAGGTTTAATCACCTTGAGACGATTCTAGAAGAAGCTCTACCAATTCCCTACACAACCGAGAAGATGGCTTCCACCTCCGGCTCGTTCTACATGGAAGACTCCCTACCAACCGACAAACCTCCATACTTCAATGGAGTCAACTATCATCATTGGAAGAAATTAATGAAGGTATTCATCCAATCCAATGATCTTGATGTATGGGAGATAATCGAGAATGGCTACTCTTCTCCAAAGAAGAAGGAGAAGAAGCGGAGTGACAAAGAACGGAAGAAAGCTTAACTTAATGCCAAGGCCATGCACATGTTGTTTTGTGCATTTGGTCCTGAAATCTATGAATGGGTTTCTTCATGTTCAAGTGCCAAGGAGCTTTGGAATAAGCTCGAGGAAATCCATGGAAACAAGAAAGAAGAACGAACAAAGGTGGTGTCTCTAATGGCTTATGAAGAGCCCGAGGTATCTTCTAACTCAAATGAATTTAATTCATATACGTTTGATGAGTTACAAGATGCTTTTAATAGGTTATATTCGGAGTTTGAGACCATGAACTCCAAATATAAGAAAATGATTTCAAAATTTAAAATTGAAAACGATTTTCTTTTGAAAACAAAAATAGATTTTGAAAGCCAAAATGAAATTTTGAAAAAGGATTTAGAGCTTTCAAAAATAAAAATTGATAGTTTTGAAAAACAAAATTTTGATTTAAAAGTTAAGCTTGAATGCTTAACAAAAGAAAAAGAAATCATTTTAAATAATTCATTTAGTTCAATAATGACAATATGCTCACATTGTCATTATCATGGTCATTTGGAACATACTTGTCCCTTGAAGAAAGGAAAACGTTTTAAAATTAGGCAAGTATGGGTTCTGAAAAGAACAAGGGGCATTGAAACTAACGTCCAAGGATCCAAAGCAATTTGGATACCAAAATCTACTTAAATGTCTCTTGTAGGTGTGTGGAGCAATGGTGATGAGAGTGATGATATTCAAGATGCTCTAGCCACACATGAAAAAGGAATGGGTAACCTCTAAGCTTAATGCTTTTAATTTTGGTTATTTGGTTGCTCATTTGATTTTAAGCATACATACATGTGTTTTGTTTTTAAATGATTATGCATCATTGTTTTAATCTCATGTATGTTGAAAAGATGATTATGATGAACATTTTAAAGTTATATTAATTTTTAAGAATTTTTAGTTCATAATAATAAAATTTTGGTCAAAATTGGTTTTAATGCAATTGATATCTCTCTAACAATTGATATCAATTTTTCAAATACTTTGATTTTATAAATTTTAATTTTTGGCCTAAATTTGAATGTTTATGCATGTGGTCTAAATGAAAATGATATCTCTCTAGCAATTGATATCAAATTTTTAAAATTGCATAACATTTTTGGAAAACTTTATGCAAATGCACTTAATTTTAACAATTGATATTGATATCAAATTTCAACAATTGGTATTGCATAAAGTATTTTAGTCTTGGATATATTGAATTTCATGTGCTACTAACATGTTTGTTATTCTTTGTTGAAATTCAATTTTGTTTAAGTGTCAAGTTCTTAAAGCTAAATTTTATTTGGAATGCATTTATTGAGGGGGAATTTTTGATTTTTCAAATAAATTTTTAAATGTCAAATTTACCACTTACTCTCCAATGTTATTTTAGAACTTTAAAAGATTGAATTATTTTTGATATAACAAAAAGGGGGAGAAGTTTGGTTGTTTTGAAAAATTCAATTTCTTAATGAAAAAGGGGGGAGCTTAACATTTTCATATATTTTCCAACAATTGGTAACAATTGATATCTTTTTCATTAAACAATTTATTAAGGGGGAGTTTTGCCAAAAATAATTTTTCAAATGTTTTGTTATATCAAAAAGGGGGAGATTGTTGAACTATGTTTTGATATAACAGTTTAAGGCAAAATGTTTTTGGACTTGAATTGAATTTGCAAAATGTTTTTGGATTTGAATTGAATTTATTCAAAGTTTTCAAAAGGTTTCAAAAATAATTCAAAGTCCATTAAATTCGGATTTGAGAAAAAATGCTAAAGGGTGTCAAAGTGCATCCATGCATCCCTGCAGTGCATCCATGCATCTGCACTAATGCATCGATGCATCAGGCAATGCATCCATCCATCCAAACATCGAATGCAATTAGTGCATCGATGCATCCTACCATGCATCCATGCATCAAGGCTGCAACGGCTAGTAACGGCTAGTTTATTTGAATTTAATGAAGGGGTATCGATGCACCTTGATCATGCATCGATGCATCATGTTATGGGCAGCCTTTTTGAGTAGAAAAATCATCCCCAAACGACTCCAAAACATCCCCAACGGCTATATACAACATCAAACACATTCCAAGCTATAAATACAAGCTGAGGACACTTGAAGAAGTAAGAGAACAACTATCCAAGCAATCAAACACAAGAGAAGAGTTTTTCATTCTTATTTCATCTTTCTCTTGTAAATATTTTGTTCTTGTGAGCTCAATCTTGTAAACACCTACCTTAGAGAGGTTTTCTTGTTTACATATTTTATCCTTTTGTAAAGGGGAAAGGTTCTAGCTTAGCCCGTGTAAAAGCTAGGGAAAGGTTCTAATTTAGCCCGGAAAAACTAGGGAGTTGTAAGGTTATCTCTTTGTCCTCAAAAGAAAGAACAAATTAGTGAATTTGTTGGAAAATCCTTGGTGAGGAGCTAAGGTAGTGGACGTAGACTTTGGTTGAGAAAGTCGAACCACTATAAATCGCTTTGCAATTCTCTATCTTTCAATCTCCTTACTCCCTAAACACAAAACCGTTCCGACCCCTCTTTGCAATCCGTTCCGGTTGTAGATTCGAGCTTCCGAAAATCCCAACACAATCCATCTCACAAAGGATATAGGTGTCTTGATGATGCTGAGAGGATGTTTATTTCGAGGCATGTCATTTTTGACGAAAATAATTTCCCTACGATGCATGTAAAATGACAGATCAGGAACATGTACACTCACGTGTTTCAACTTGGGAATTGCCAATTGTCTTTGCACCACAGGTTTAAACTCAGCAAGGAGGTGATTCTATTTTACCTATTATTAGTGTGCAAAATGAAGGAGCTAATGATCATGAAACAAATAGTGAAGGAGTTATTCTAGTAGGGTCAAGTTCTGATCATGAAAAAAATAGTGAATGAGTTATTCAAGTAGGGTTAAGTTCCACTATTGTTCCAATTGAAATAACATTACCACAGACAGGTGTGGGAGTTGGTTGTAGCTCTACCTTGAACACTTATCCAATGCAAACAAGGAGTAAGAGTGGTATTTCGAAACCAAAGATTTTTCAAGCCACTGCATGGATTGATGAAGAACTACATAGCATCAAACAGGCTTTGGCTAGTCCACATTGGAAGGTTGTTGTTCAAGAAGAGTATGAGGCTTTGCTAAAAAATAAAACGTGGTCTCTAGTGTCATTACCAAGTGACAGAAGGGCAGTGCACTGCAAATGGTTGTTCAGAATCAAGAGGAATGCAGATGGCTCAATTGCTCAATATAAAGCAAGATTTGTAGCAAAGGGGTTTTTTCAGCAACCTGGTATTTACTTTCATGAAGTCTTTAGTCCTGTTGTTAAACCAGTAATTGTACGTGTCATCTTGACACTAGATTTGTCAAAAGGGTGGCAACTTAGGCAGGTTGACATTAATAATGCTTTGCAGAAGAAGTCTACATGACTCAGCCTCATGGTTTTGAATTTGGTGATGCTAAATTGGTTTGTAAGTTGCATAAAGCCATATATGGTTTAAAACATGCACCACGTGCTTGGTTCGACAGTTTAAGAAGCTATTTGGAATCTGAAGGCTTTGTGGTAGCCAAGTCAGACTCTTCTTTTTTTGTTCGAAAAAGTGAGAAGTATTTACTGTATTTACTTGTATATGTTGATGATATAATTCTCACTGGAAGTAATCCAAGTGAGGTGCAAGTTGTTATTAACAAATTACATGCAAAGTTTGCTCTAAAAGATCTGGGCACTCTAAATTTCTTCTTAGGAATTGAAGTAAAGTATGAATCAGGAGGTTTTTTTTGTGCCAGCAAAAGTACATTCATGAATTGTTACATCGAAATGGATTTGAAAGTGCAAATGGTCTTCCTATGCCCATGGTTACAAACTGTAAACTTTCAGCTAATGATGGAAATCCAGTTGAAAAAGTTACTCAATTTCGAAGCATTGTTGGATCCCTACAGTATGTTGTGATTACTCGTCCAGATATCGCCTTTGCTGTCAATCGTGTGTGTCAATATATGCAAGCTCCTCTTGACAATCATTTTCAGGTTGTGAAACGTATCTTAAGATACTTACAAGGAACAACTGACTTTGATCTGCATTTCTTGAGGTCTTCTATACTTTCCTTGACAGGCTTTGCTGATGCAAGTTGGGGAACAGATGTGGATGATAGACGTTCCACTTCTGGTTTCTGCATTTACTTTGGGGGCAATTTAGTTTCGTGGAGCTCTCGAAAGTAACAGGTTGTGGCTCGATCAACAGATGAAGCAGAATATCGAAGTGTTGCGTGTGCAACTGCTAAAATGGTATGGATTGAATATTTATTGAGCGAACTGCTCATTGTTTCTCATGGTAAACCTACTCTATGGTGTGACAATTCAAGTGCAGATGCAGTATGTGCCAATCCTGTTTTGCACTCTAAATTTAAACATGTGGAACTTGATCTCTTTTTCGTTCGAGAGATGAATGCAGCAGGGAAGTTACAAGTTCATGAAGTTCCTGCATATGAACAAGTTGCAGACATTCTAACAAAGTCATTGTCTGCACCCTTGTTTGTAAAGCACAGACAAAAGTTGTTGATTGTGCAAGTCAAATGTGCAGGTTGAGAAGTTTACAAGCTTGAAGCTGCAAGGAGAATGTTGTTGTTTATGCTGAATTAGAAAGGTGCAGAGTAAAGTAGTAAGGGGAATGTTAGTGCATGATGTTAGTATGTGTGATGTATGCATAAATTAGTTATACATATGGTTCATGCATGTGCAATGTAAGTGAGGTGGTTAGAGTTGTCTTAACAAACTCTCTCTCTCCTCTAATGTCCTAACGTTCTTTCCCTCTCATTTTATATTTCTTCATGTGCTGTATAAATTGCCTTGTGCTATTGTCATAGAGTTTATGGTTTTATAAATGAATGAAAGAAATTATTCATGGTTTCTGTGTGTTAATTACTGAGCTATATTGATATTTTAACATTCCAAAGGTGAATACGATGAATCTGGACCGGCTATTGTTCACCGGAAGTGCTTCTGATTTGAACGTACCCTAGCCTTCATTTTGCTTGTTAATGCTTTTGAGTGCTCTCTCACATTAGGTTTCAGATTTTATATACCAAACTTACTTTTGGCATGTGGCTCATATCGTTTTCGAATTTCATAGTTGTTTTGGTCTTATTATTGTTTTAGTGAGCAAATAATTTTCTTCTGTTGGGTTCATTTTGTTAGACCATCTGCCCCTAAAAAGATATTTTTTCTTTTGGATTGTTGGCAAACTAGAATTTCCTTTTTCTCCAAAATCTGTTCCAGGATCTGAATTAATAAACACTTTTATTTTTTTTAGGAAATTTAATTAAAAATATAAAAATAGTCAGCTTAATAAAAATTTAAAGAGTCAAATTAAAAGAATATAAGTTTGGGAGCAAAATGTAATTAATTTATACATTTTCCAATTTCATTAAATAGATTAAAAGGTAAAAATAGGGTGGGATTGGGGTAGGGCCACTCCCACTGACAGAGTGGTTCTATCGGTGGTCCATCATTGCTTATAAATTTGAAGATCTCCCGTTTCCCATTTACTCACACACACAGTTAGCACACTCTCTGGTATTTTTTATACCAAAGAGAAAGAAGGCTTGATTTCAACTGCCTTTTTTTTGTCTGCTTGGCTTTTCAGTGAAAAAATTATGGGACAGATTATTAAGGTATTGCATGAATTAAAGCCGGCCATGCTGATGGTGGTGGTTCAAGTAGTATCCGACGGGTTTAATGTGCTTTACAAATTGGTAACAAATGATGGGACGAACTTGCGAGTCGTCGTGGCTTATAGAATGTTATTCACCACTGCTTTCATGGTTCCCCTTGCTCTCATCGTTGAAAGGTTTTCTCTTCCTCTCTCAATCTTCATTTTTCCTCTTCTAGCCATTATTAGATCATCAAATAACATCGTTCTAGGGAGTGAGCAACTTATTTTTTTTATATATAAAAACTCGCACACAATACCAACATAACGATTCAAACTCGAGATGGGAACAACACTTTTACTATTGAGGTGGCTCAATGGATTTCGAGTGAGGAACTAAACATGAATCAAATTTTGTCCTTTTACGGCTTCGTCTGAGAATGTTTATCCAAACGAGTTTTTCTAATGCAAAAGTTTTTTTTTCTTTCAGTTTCTTGGTTTGAGTAAATAATCACATTTTAAATGTGAAATTTTGGATAAAAATGAATTGTTTGGAAAAGTTTCTGCGGTTTGAACAAAATTTTGAAGTAAAAACATTTCCATGAGCTTTCTTAAATGGCCCCTAATTGATAAGGGGTGAGGTTTTAGGCACGCAGTCTCTAGATTTTATTCCATTTAAAACATACCGTATATAGATTTACTTTTATATACCGGGGTGATGCACTAAGCCTCTATAGGGTCAAGTACATCCTATTATTCTGGGAAATTAGTTAAATTTAATTTAATGTTATAAGGGAAAAAGGAAAAATAAAAAATTTATATACACATTATTTTTAAGAAAAAAACATTAAAATTTTGGATCACATTCTTAAATTTCTATATCTGATACTGTATATATATTGGATTATTAGTCTGAATATACAGATTATAAATTATTTGAAAATGTATTAATTACCCTGGTTTTTACTGTGTAGGAAGGGGCCAAAAATGACGTGGACTATATTTTTTTCAAGCATTTCTCTGCGCGTTACTAGGGTAAGTAAAGTTGTTATCACAGGCTTTATTTAGTTAAAGATTCAATGGTGCATTTTGATTAGTAAAATGGACCATTCAACACAAATTGGATAAAGGGATAATAAATCTTACACTGTAGGATTTATGCTTAGGTGAAGTGTACATTTCAGAGAGGATAATAAGTAATAATTTTCTAAACTTAGACAGGTCCATGGTCCCTGCTTTTAGTTTTTTAGTATTTTCAATAAAATGCCAATATTACAAATTTTTAAAAAAAAAATTAGTATAAATAATTTTAATATTTACTTGCACTTTGCAGGGGTTCACTAGCTCAGAACTTGTACATAGAAAGCCTGGCCTTAACATCTGCAACATTTGTTTGCGCCATGGTTAATGTCACTCGTGCCGTAACTTTCATTATTGCCATCACTCTTGGGTATGTATGTATGCATGCTTCTTTGACTAAAAATCTTTGATGGATCCAATACCAAATTCTATGACAGACTGGAAAAGCTAGCATTTAGAACAATGGCAGGGAAGGCAAAGGTGTTGGGAACTGTATCTGGAATAGGTGGGGCAATGCTACTCACGCTCTACAAAGGACCCCAATTCAACATATCAACCCATATTGACCTTCTTCCTCATGGGCACAATGGCTCTAACACCTCACATGCACCCCATACTCATCATCTATTGGGTGCTTTCTTGTTCTTTTTATGCAACTTTTGTTATGCTACTTGGATGAACATTCAGGTAATTCAAACAGACCTTTGTTTCCTTTCAAGCTGATATTTTTCGAAGCCTTTCCGTTTTTAACTTGTTTTATAGGCTAAGATGAGTGAAAACTACCCGTGTCATTACTCAAGCACGGCGTTGGTATGCAGGATGTGAACCGTACAAACAGTTGCGTTTGCATTGTGTGTGGAAAGAGACATGAGTCAGTGGAGGTTAGGGTGGAATATTAGGCTTCTAACCGTCGCTTACTCGGTCTGTAATATGTTGAGGCCAAATCCCTATTCTAGTTTTAAGGTTAAGGGTTTAGGGTTGAATCTTAAGAGTAGTTTTTTCCCCCCATTGGTGCAGGGAGTTTTGGGAATGGGACTGACGTTTTGCTTGATAGCTTGGTGCGTGGGGATTAAAGGCCCATTCTACACATCCAATTTTGGCCCTTTGGTGCTCGTCTTAGTAGCCCTCGCAGGCTCCTTATTTCTCCAAGAAAACTCTTATCTTGGAAGGTAAGTGAATGCATGTATGTATCTTTTATAAATACATGTATTAATTTATTATTTTAAAACAAATACTAATGCTTGTAGATATTGGTTAATTTAAACCTGTAATTGAGCATTGTAATGAACACAGAAACACTCTTTTTTGTGTGTAATTACGGCATATTGGAGCAGTGCTAGTTGTGATGGGACTTTATGTTGTGTTATGGGGAAAAAGCAAGGAGACGAACAAGATTGGTCCGTCAATTACTTCTTCAAAAAACAAAATTGTCGAGGTTGGTGTTACTTCGTCTTTAGACGACCACAAATAAGAGTGAGAACCTTAATCAAATTCTGTTCGTTTCTTTTATCATGATTCTTTGTTTATAGTAGCGGAGCCACAACTTGGTAGGGTGAATATGTCCACCCTGAAATTCAAATTTTTTCGGTTAGTTTATTTTTCTTGACAATAAATTATTTATTTATAAAAATCGGAACTCGAGTTGTATGTCTCATTAAAGATTTCTCTAAACCTAAATAGAAGAAAAGAGTACATACAGTC